TATATGCATATTGTCAGCATGAGCAAGAGTCTGATCTTCATTTATTTAGATTTTCAGTGTATTAGCATTATTTTGAAGCTTAAAGCAAATAAACTAAATTCTGGCTACAACTCCAATGTTTAGAGTTCCCCTCTGACAATAATGTGGAACATTATCATATTCTGGAAATTTGAGAAAATGTTCTAAGACTGGACCTCTTAAATTTTAAAAATTTATTTTTTATTTTAAATAACGTTTTTAGGGAGAGATGTAAAGATGGTCTGAAGTGTGTTTGTATAGGATACGTGGACTGTTTCTAAATAGGCTATGTTGCATTTATTAATTCTGGAATATTTTGAAAGAACTCTACATGAAAGAGGAAGTCCACAGAGTGGAATTTCCTGATTGTATTAGAAGTTCTCATTGTTTTTCTATCCAGTGCTTGTTCCTTTTATTCTGAAGTGGGTGGCGTCAGGCCTGCAGGTGTGTTCAGACTCTCGGGTTGTCTTTCTGACAGATGAAGCGTTCTCTGATGGAGCAGTGCTGGTCGTTCAGGCGTCCATCATTGTGTAGGTGAGCACAGTCTTCATTCCCAGGTCCTAGACCATGATGGGCCCAGTTGTCGGGCTGCCCAGGTTTCCACCGCCTTGAAACACACACACACACACACACACACATTATGTGTAATTCCTGTGGAGCACTGACTGATAATAATTCCTCTTTATGCTGAAAGCTCCCTGCTCCCATGACACTCACGATCTCTGATCTACTGGTTACCGTTTCTGGACAAACATTTTACAGTTTGATTTAGGATATGAAACCTCTTGTTCTCCAGGCTTTCTGAAGTTTTTTTAAAGGTCATTGTTTTGTTGATATGGCATGGTAACTGTATCTTCAATAACAAATGTTTTGTTTTCTTCTACACATCATACGGGTCAGCTGTTCCACACAGATTTCAGGTTTATGTAATGCAGTAGTTTATAATTACACAGCTGGATCTCTATTCTGACCTCAATGGGCTGACTGTACCCCAGTTTGGGAGCTCTCTCAGCAAAAGGCCCAGTAACTTAGTTGAGACCTTGGGATAACCAGCACTGCTCCATTCACTGTTCTAAGTAAACACATAGGCACATGGATTAATATGAGTCTATCTTGAGCAAGGCCATTGAATGCTTTAAAATCAGTTAGCAATATTTCAACTTCAGAATTTGGCAGTACAAGAAAAATGTTTTTATATTTGTTGGTGCCAGTTAAAATCTGTGCAGTGGTGTTCTTATCAACTGGACCTCCAGCTGAGTCATAAAGCACTTTACAATCAAGATGAACAACTGAAGTATGCATGACCTTATATAAATCATTATCAATAAAGAATAAATCAAGGAAATGCGAGTGAAACATTAGATTGCTATCTGTCTTCTGGATTAGCATAGCATCTTAGCCTAACAGACTCCTAATTTTGTATGGATTTAAACAGCAGAGGCGACAACAGTCAGAAG